TGAATGAGCTCGTGGATGTGGTCGCCAAAGAAGCCAGAACTCAAACACCTCGAGCCCCTGATTCCGGAAGATTAGCTAGCATGCTCGCTTCATTAGCAGACTTGAGCCATCTGTGGTGGTATTTTAGTGATCCGCAGTACCAACGGCAACTGCCTTCCTTTCATAGAAGTACCCATGAATTTCAGTGGACAGCAACGGCCGAGAAAGCTTTGCGCCAAAACGACATACAGAGCCAGATTTGCTTTGGAGGGTCACATACGACTCAGAGTGCAGTGGCATGCAAATTACGTTGTGCCAGCTACAATGTATTGTCTTTGCTGGATCCGACTCCGCCACCACTCAACTCTGAGACCGGAAGAGCTAGGTTGCTAAGGGAGCAGATTAAGCGCAAGGGAATCCACCTTCTAGGGCTACAGGAATGCAGATCCCAACAAGGCACCATTCGCTCCAGTAGCCACCTTAGGCAATGCAGTGGTTCCACTGAACAAGGTACGTTTGGGGTTGAACTATGGATTGCCTTAAAGACACCTGTTGACCAAGAACAAGCATTCCATGAAAAGGATTGTGCAGTCGTTTTTGCTGATCCACAAAGCATGCTAGTCTGGTACGCAGGCCCCTTTGGGCATTTGTTAATTGTTGTGGCCCATGCTCCGCACACGGGTCATACCGAACAAGTGCGTGTCCAATGGTGGAGAGATTTTGAGCAGAAGGTTAACCAGCACAAAAAGGATGCGCAGGTCATTTTGCTCATTGATGCCAATGCTGTTTGGGCAGGTCCACCAACACAATACATGGGTGATCTCTTTGAGAACCAGCCGAACCGAAGTACACAACTCTTTCAGAAGTTTGTAGAACAATTGCAGGTCTTCGCGCCTTCCACCTTCTCAAGTTGTCAGTGGGGTCCATGGTACACATGGGTGCACCCTGGATCGGGGAAGGAGCGTCGTATCGACTATGTCTTGTTGGACATGCAGTGGAACCAGGCATGGGTCGAATCATGGACGATCCAGAAATCACCGTAGGACATGCGGGATGGGATCATGTGGCAACGATCATCGAAGTCCATTGGGAACAGATAGGACAAATGTCAAGAAAGAGGCCGAAGTATGACGTGATGAACCCACATAACAAGGCCAAGCTTTTCGACGTCCTTGACCACTGTCCGTCTCCTCAATGGTCTATGAATGCTAGTGATCATGCTGTCCAACTGACACAATACTTCCAAGATCAACTCGCAGAGGCTTTTCCAGCTCCCAAGAGGAAAACGCCTACCTATACACGAGAGGAAACGAGGCAAATATACCAGAAGACGGTTGTCCACAAAAAATCCTTAGGGCATTTCAAGATCCTTGAACTGTTTCAGATTCTGTCTCGGATTTTTGATGCCTGGGCTCACAAACCACACTACGAGGGATCCATCAGATGGAGGACCTTGTTCAACTTTAAATATGCTCAAACCATGGCTGAGCTACAGAAGTCTGCCGACATACTCAAAGCGGGTCTGAAAGCAGACAAGAATGCATTTCTAGACAATTTAGCGAAAGAAGTCAATGAATGTCCTCCAGCGGAGATTTTTCGTCGCCTGAGACCAGTGTTGCAGCCAGCCAAGAAACAAGCACCAGTTTTCAGGCCTCTTCCAAAGTTGCTTGATGCGGAGGGGCAACCGATCCTGAGCAGACAGGACCAAGAAGCGCGATGGACTGAACACTTTGCATCTATAGAAGCTGGACAGGTCGTGCAAGTAGAACACTTCGCAGAGAAGCACCTGCAAAGGCAGCTCGAGCGATGCAAGCCAGCAGAATATGACATCCGTGACATTCCGTCACTGTATGCAGTTGAGAGTGCTATTCGATCAGCCAAGTCAGGTAAAACTTCGGGGCCTGATGGCATCCCCATCGAGTTGTTCAAAGCTTTGCCAGGGAAAGCTGCCAGGATCTTATATCCACTAGCTTTGAAACTAGCCCTTAGGGTTGAAGAACCTCTAACCTGGAAGGGCGGACACCTATTTGCTTTGTACAAAGGGAAGGGACCAATGGCAGAATTCTCCAGTCACAGAGGCATACTGTTGATGGACGTTATGGGCAAGGTCACAAGAGCCAGCTTGAGGAAATGGATCAATGGACCATACCTCAGTCAAGGACATCCTATGCAACTAGGAGGGAGACCTCATCAGCAAGCGCAGTTTGGAGCACAGCTAACACGTTCCTTTCTAAGATGGCGGAAGGGATGTAATAAGAGTGCAGCCGTCCTTTTTGTGGACATTGCCTCTGCCTTTTACAAGGCATTGAGACAGATTGCCACAGGAGCTGACGCGTCAGATCAGGACATGGCCCAGATTGCAAGGAGACTAGGTTTGGGTCCAGAACTAATGCCAGCTCTGTATGAGGCACTACAGGGCAGGACTGCGTATGCAGCCCTCACCGAGTCAGTCCCTAGACAACAGGTTCTACAAGAAAGCCTGCAAGCCACTTGTTTTTCAGTCGACGGAGAAACAATCGTAGGGACTGAGCAGGGCACGCGACCAGGGGATAGTTGGGCAGACGTAGTTTTCAATGTTCTTTTATCGCAAGTCCTGCACAAAGTCCAGAGAATCCTTGATCATGAAAACATTGTTGTCAAAGTCCCCCAATACCACCGAGCTGTAGAGTCTTTTCCAGAATCAGCTATGGAATCGATTCCGCTGTTGCAGGTCACATGGGCAGATGACATCGCGCTCATGATAACTGTTGATAGACCTAATAACATCTGGGAGATATTGCCTCGAGTGATGCAGACGCTTGTAGACGAGCTCAATGCTGTTGGCGTGGAAATTTCGTGTGGACCATCCAAAACAGCGGCACTTGTACTCCTCCGAGGTCCGGATCTGTGCATGTCAGGAGACAAATGTTCAAACAACCTCAAGCTGAGTTGCCAGTCCTCACAGACAAACGATGTCTAATGCTTCCGTTGGTACACCAATATAAGCACTTGGGAGGCATACTGTCGCACAAAGGGACGCTGTCAACTGAGATTGCCACACGTTTTGCCAAAGCTAGACAGTCTTACTGGAGAGCAGCTAAAGCCATATTTCGCCCTAGGCATGTTGCTGACAAAATCAAGGCTCAGCTCTTTCAAGCCTTGGTATTGTCAGTGTACACTTGGGGCATTGGTGCAGGGCCAGCCCTGTCCAAAGCAGACGCATGGCAATACCAAGTGTCATATTGGAATCTCCAAAGACTCCGGGCGGCCAGAGATGGCTGTAAGGCATCTCAAGAGTCCTTATGCCGAAGGTTTGCCTGTCCATATCCAGACGATCTGTTACAAGCAGCGAGAGCCAGACACTTTGCAACAATGATCAAGCATGCACCCGATCCGGTCTGGGCAGTGACCCACCTCGATGGCCCAACGCAGCAGGCATATCTTGAGGCCATTGAATGGGTTCACATGGCTCTACAGAGAGAAAGGGGCTTTCAGGGACGCAGCCCACAGCAGGTGTGTCAAGACCTTTCCATGACATCGCCCAACGCCTGGAAAAGTGCAGTAAAGAGAGCGGCTGAAAGATGGAGGCTCTTTCGACTAAGAGAGCAGAAGGTCACGCAGGCTCACAAAGCCGTCTTCCAATCTCTGCGGAGACACAAAGCGTGTGAGAACAAGTCTGCCACAATCATGTGGAAGCACTTTTGCCTCTTGTGCCGCAAAGGTTTCGACAAGAAAAATGCGCGGTTCCTTCATGCCAATACAGTTCATGCCTACAAGACCATGGAAGGGGAGGCAACAACTGGCAGCTGGCACAACGTGCTGGTGCTGCGCCAAGCAGTACCCCACGACAGGAGCATTGAAGAACCACCTCCGCTACAGCAAGGCCTGCTGCACTTTTTTCTGGAAAAACCATGACAGACTCGTGAACCAGGCAGGGGTTTCGCAACGCAGACACCCTCAGCTTCCATGGGTGCGCACTGAGTCTACCAATTTTCCCCTACCAGACCCGATCAATCGAGACCAAGTCATGTTGAGGCAGGAACTCGAGCAGGTGCTCCGAGATTTTGCTCCTCCAGAGGAGGATTCGCAGCTCGTTGTAGCACTCGCAGAGGCTTTAACAGAGACAGCTTGCAGGGTCATGCTGATCGAGGAGATCCTCGAGACCCTACAACAACTGTCCCAAGAATATTCCCATCCGAACCAAAGAGAGATTAGAGATGCTCTTAACGCCACTGCTCAATGCATTTCAGATCTAAGACAAAGAGAAGAGACAGACATGCATGCCGAAGAAGTCTTGAACAGTGAGGATAAGCGAAAGCAAATCCAAATTGCGTCAATCAGGGCATGTGTGTATCGTCTGCACTCTGAGATCTACGTTTTGCATTTTTTCAGTGGAAGACGTCGAGCTGGTGACTTGCAGCAAGCACTTGAAGGACTCACACCGCCAGACGCAACAATGCTTTTCGTTATCTCTCTTGACGTAATGGTCAGTGCAGACCATGGCAATCTGACTGATGAGAACCAGCAGCAGGCCATTCTGAGACTCATCAGACAAGGAGCTATTGCGGCAGGTTATGCAGGTCCGCCCTGCGAAACTTGGACTGTGGCAAGGTTTGAACTAGTTGCAGCACGCCGTTATGCTCCAAGGCCCTTGAGGCTGAAAGACCAACCCTGGGGGCTTCTCCATGTTAGCCTTCGAGAAGGCCAGCAATTGGACATAGGCAATGAGCTTATGTGCTTCGCTATCCAAGCATTATTCGAGATCGCTGCGATGGGTGGACTGTCAGTCCTGGAGCATCCGCGGAATCCGCATGATTGGAATACCAAGCACGCTCAAGCTCCGAGCATCTGGGATACTGCAATCATTCGATGGCTGAGCGCGACGGGTCTCTTCCATTGCCTAGCAGTTTCCCAAGGAAACTTTGGAGCTAAAAGTGCCAAGCCGACCTGGACTGTCGCACGAGACGGCAGCGGCAATGGAGGTAGCAGCTAGAACGACTCACTGTCCCCAAGCAGCATCGATAGGTCTTTGTAACGGGGAGTGGGCTACGAGCTCACTTAAAGAGTACCCGCCTGACCTGTGTTTGTTTCTTGCCTCACTTTTCGATCGATGGCTGCAGGGAACTGTGAAAGAGTCCGGTCCTTTCTCAGCAGACGTGAGTTGGCTTAAAGCCATGCACGTCACTGATGTCCAACATGTACAGAAAGAAGGACCGGACTTTCACCCGTCTTTAATTAAGAATTCATGATCGCTAGGCGCTGAGTTTTCGGACACCGTGCGCAACAAGAAAAGAAAAGAAAAGAAAAAAGCTAGTTTGCTAGATTGTGGATGTTACTGGGACGATATTTTTAGAGAGCATTGTCAACCATTGTAGGAGGTAAACAGGGATACAACTACAACGATGATATGGGGCTCATACTGGAATGAGGCACCTCATCGTATCTTTGGGTGCTTGGAAATTTGCAGTGGTCACCAGTGGTCTGTGCCTGAATCCTGGTTACCGGTGGCTATCAGACACATATATCATATATGAACCATATATAGATATATATATATATATTCATATAGTATTTATGCCAGTACCCCTTTACCCTGCGCCCAGTTTCTTCCACGCTTGTGGCCACTTCGAAGTCGGAGGGTTGTTCACAACCGAAGCGTTTCAGGGGCTGAGCCTTGACACGCCACGTTCGGAGTCGCACCACGGGAAGGGTGGCCTTGGGGCCCAGCTTTGGAATGTGGAGTCTTTTTCATGTCGATACTGTTTGCTAGCAGCAAGTCCTAGCATGTGTGCAACAGTGTTTTGGAGCCTTTCTGAATTGCCGACGTGCCCAGCATGTATGTTTGTTCTCGCTCTGATTTGATAGAAAATGTCCAGAGCTAATGTTGCTTTGAATATATTGCCTGCAAAGGTCAACCAGATTTACCTTTGCAAGTCAAGAATGCATAAATCTTTCAATTTCGGCCGTTTCTCTCCCTAAGGTCATGCCCAATTTGAAAGTGGATGCCGAAGATATGTTGGATTCCTCAGCCGGGTTTCGACGGCAAACGCCTGTATTTCGTACATGTTCGTTAGTGGAGTTCTTCTCAGAGCTCGGAGCATTTGCTTGCTGAGCCAGGTGATCAAGTCATTGTCGAAGGATGACAACAAAACACTCCTCAGGATCGCAGGTCCACTGATAGAGAGGATGTCACTTGCCTCATAAGCTTGTTTGGTGTTCCTTGCTGTGGCTCCCGCCTTCAAGATGATCATGGGCTCAGGCTTTCAGGGTCTACGATGCTTTGTGGATGCCATAGACATCAATGAGCGTCGCTTCTTTACCCAAAGAAAAACTTTTGGTAGCAAGTTGCATACTTGATGCATTTCTGATATCTTTGGTTAAACCATGTGCCGTTTGACTGATGTTCAGGCCCCATCTATATGCACTTCAAAGATATTGCCACGGGACAATACTTTATGGCGATGCGCAACCTGACAGAGGCAACTGGAATGCAGCTGCGATTCCGGGGTGACTGATCATTTGGGCTAGAGTCGGCTAGAGGTGTTGGAAGTGCTGATTCTATTTTGTGCTGGAAGTTGGTGAAAATGCTTTGCAATCGCTTTGCATCATCACTTTGGCGCTTTGGCAGATGGGTCCATGGTGTGCCAAGTACGACCTCAAGGGCTGTGATGACGACAAGACCTTGGAGGTGCGAACAGAGAAGCAAGTGAAGCATAGGTAGATTAGAGGTCATTACTACTACTAATAGCAAGACAAGGCTGCTGGTAGCGTTGTTTTGATTATGGCATCGTAGAGGTTCAAAAGGAACAGCGTTTGCAGGTGAAGGGCCGAGTGATCCGGCCAGTCAGGAAGCGGTTCTACCGTCCCGGCTTCAGGCAACAGGACACTGTCAATCGAAAATAGGAGAAGCGCACACTTAAGAGCAGTGTAGATCTACAGTTGGAGCACCTGTAATTGTTGATTCAGGTCCTCACATGTGGTGCGCCTGTATGTGGAGAGCTTGAAAGGTTTGGAATATCAGAAATGATGGAGAAGATGGGAGAGAGACTGGCTGATTTGCTACTTTGCATTGCACACTCGAGCGAGGTGGTCTTCCGAGAGATGGGAGTACTACCAGGGCAAGGCCACATTACAGTGCAGTTATGTTTTGCATTGTTTTGCATTTTCCTGTTTCTTCGCAAACAAACCATGGTTTAAGTGGGAGGTCAGATCAAGTTAAGGCCTTGTATGTCATGTGTGCATAATGACTGGAGAGTCAAGGGAGGAAGGGGCCTGAAATTGTTGGCAGGTTCGGGCGAGAACCCTGCAGTCCATGAGCTCAAGAAATACTGAAAAGATCTGAAAAGTTAGCGCAATGCGTTTTCAATATTGTTGCAGTGTCCTGCATCGAGACAGGTTGAGCAGTGCAGTAGTTGCAGACTGCAGTGTAATTAGGTGACTTGGTAGGTGTATGAAGTTGAATGGCACACTGTATGGTCTAATTGCTTCATGGCTTTGCTGAGCATTGAGTAGCTGCGTAGTCATGGTCCAAGGTTGGGACTTGCAGCCCCTGTACGCGAAGAAGCGGTGAAGCAGATTGCTTCAGATGCTGATCCTTGTTGCCATGAAGCAAACATAATTGGAGAATGGCTGTCAATCGGAATGGATGAAGCACGATGAAGCTAGTAGCAGCTAGATGTCACCCGTCCCGATTGAGTTGACTGCCCAACTTTGGCTCCAAGGATTGGCTCATCAGTCGTGCACCAAGTCCACGTCACTACGCTTTTCGCATGGTCAGACCAGTTGTTGCGCAGACTAAGACCCTATTGAAGACAGCTGAGTAAGAAATACTCAAGTAATTATTTAAGGGCTGCCGCCCCTGCCGCCGACCCCGGATTCTCAGGTCCGGCTTTTCCTCCACTGGTTGGCATTGCGAGGGTTTTTCGAACAGGGGTTTCAGTCGTCCTTTTAAAGGTTGCTCTTCTGGAATCGTCGTTTCTTTCCGGTTCCGTGCCCGTGCGGAGCGTTTCATTGCCTGCTCTCTGGATTGTTTGCTAGCATTTTCCACCACTAACCAGCCTCCCAAAAAGCATCTGAAACCACCCCTTCGCCACGGCTGTAACCCATTGAGTTCAGCTCCAAACGAGCCCCAATTCCTCGGACGTTCGGTGTCAAACGGACGCTCTGGATTCCTATAGAAAAAAGACAATTTGCTAGCATTTTCCACCACTAACCAGCCTCCCAAAAAGCATCTGAAACCACCCCTTCGCCACGGCTTTAACCCATTGAGTTC